GAGTAATTCCTTCGTAGGCTTGCTGGACGGTGATGGGTTGAATGAGATTTATCATGTAATCAAGTTAGTTTTGTTAGGATTTGATCCCTAGTATCCACTATGTTCTGAGATTGATGCTGCTATGACTTTGTTATGCTTAATGCTTGTCACTAGGGCCCGAGTGCCATGATTTCAGATCTGAACCTATTATGTTTTCATGAATATATTTGTGTTCTTGATCCGATCTTGCAATTTGTAGACACCTATTATGAACTATGATCTGCATACCCTAAGGTGACAATAATTGGGATTCTTTCCGGTGATTACCGTAGTTTGAGGAGTTCATGTATTCACTAAGTGCTAATGCTTTGTTCCAGTTCTCTATTAAAAGGAGGCATTAATATCACTTAGTTTCCATTAGGACCCCGCTGCCACGGGAGGGTAGGACAAAACATGGCATGCAAGTTCTTTTCCATAAGCATGTATGACTATATACGGAATACATGCCTACATTATATTGATGAATTGGAGCTAGTTCTGTGTCACCCTAGGTTATGACTGTTGCATGATGAATGCCATCTGACATAATTATTCATCATTGATCCAATGCCTACGAGATTTTCACACATTGATCTTTCCTAAATTACTTTGTCGTTGCCACTTTTACAATTGCTACAAAACTGCTACTGTTACTTTTGCCACCATTATTGTTACTTCCATATTACTTTGCTGCAGATATTAAGTCTTTCAGGTGTGGTTGAATTGACAACTCAACTGCTAATACTCATGAATATTCTTTGGCTCCCCTTGTGTCGAATCAATAAATTTGGCTTGAATACTCTACCCTCGAAAACTGTTGCGATCCCCTATACTTGTGGGTTATCAAGAGTGAGCATCTGGAAGCCCCTCGCCGCCGCTGCCGCCGCCTTCATGTCGCCCTTCTCCGGGAACCAGGATAGGATTTCTCTCATCTTCTCCATCCTCTCTACATCCCCGCCCGCTATCTCTGCCATCTCCACCTCGAGCGACCGCTTCCAGAGCACCACCGAACCTTAAGGTTGTCTTCGATTTCAGGAGGGAGGAAGGGATTCTCTGTCTATCTCTGCAGGAATGACAAAGGGGATCACCTCCTTTGCCCCGCATTTAATCCACGGCCGCCATGGCTATCCGCCTTCTCCACTCCCTCGAACTTCGCATCACACCGTGCCTCACACTGTTTGCGCCCCACCAACACCACATGGCAGGGGAACAAAATTTCCACACCTTCCTCGATCTCCTCCCCGGGCCGCACCACCTGCGTGTTGCGCAGCCGCCCTGATCGTTGAGCAGCAACAACCGACAAGCTCGACCTCGCCGGACTAGGATCCCTCGCCAAAAAATTAGGAGGGTGGGTGGGTGGAGGTCGGAGACCAGGTGCACCACCCACAACTGATCGCTAGGGGAACCCATCCTCTTAGCGTACCCTTTCTTCCCTCTCTCTCCCAAAGAGCGCTTGGATAGATCTGGGCTCTGAGAGTGGTCTGCAGGCGCTCCCTTGCCTAGGTTTATAGGGAGGGGGAGAGGGATTTGAAAGGGGGAGAGCGGGGGGGAGGAGGAAGGGGAACCAGGGGAGTAGGGGACAACGAAAGGGGGAGGAGAGGTACCGTACCTCCTTGCCTTGCCCATATCTATATCTATACCTACTAATATAAGAAATAGGTATTCTTAGTCCGTTTTGCTATTTTATATAAAATCCCCTATGTTTCTGACATTAAACTCGTAGTACATATCAAATCAAATGATTTTTAAAATACTCATATCTTCTAAACCACAACTCCAAACTTGACATGTTATATATGAAATTTAATTAGAAAATATATAGAATTTGAATATGATGTTATTTTACCTGTTAACATTTAAAAAAATACTATCTAGGCGGCAATATTAATCAACAATGCATTATCCGTCTTTTTTTTCATACTGGTACTGATTCAGATTGAGGATGAACACATCAGCAAAATCAGGATTGGGCATGAAATTGAAGATAAATTTGCTAGAAACACCCCATAAATAAGGACATGCATGAAAAAAAAATAAAGGAAGGACTCAATAAAGATGGGATGTCCTCTATAAAAGAAATAAAAGAGAAACTGAAGAGGAGATCCGATAAAGACGATATGTTGCGCTATTCTCCTATATATAAAAAGAAGAAAAAGAGGACATGCATGGAAAAAAGTAAAAAGGAGGCATGCATGATAAAAAATAAAATAAAAAACGAGTTTGATAAGATATCAATAGTGATAAAACAGGGACCAATACCTACGGCATGTATGGCAAGAAATAGTGATGAAACAGGGGTGCAAGTACATGCGTCCACAAGAGACTATACAAAAATGTTCTTTTTCAGACCAAAAAAAATCTCTTTTTATGATTAAAAAATCATGTATCTTTAATCCTTTTAACAACTCTTCATGTATTTAAGAAATATGCATGTGAAAAAAGTGTTCAAGAGTTACCCTAAATTGGTGATTCTTAAACTGAAAACTGACATTGATATAGACATGTCTCGTAGTGTGCTAATGTGTCATCGTTTGTTTTTTGTCGTTCTTTACTCGCCCGTAACAACACCCCATTTCGAATATGACATGAATAAATGCATGATCACTTGTCCGTTTTTTTGTACGGATTAAATCTACATGCAAGTCAGTGTTGAAATAGAACACAATCTTAAATTGCGTGGTTAAGACCATCTTTGTTTGGGTTGTAGTTATAAATTCTCAGATTATAGACGATTTTTTGTAAATTAAGAGCCTGTGGTATTTTTTTTCTTTCATTACAACGTACGAGTCTTTTTGCTAGTGATAATCAAAATTATTTAACTTTCGACCCAATTTTAAGTTTAATTTACTTACCAAATTTCTCATCAAATTATAAGGTAAACTACGAACATGTGATAAACATTTATTTACACAATCACGTTAACATGGGTAGGTAAATCACAAGGTAATGTATTGGAATATTTATATTCCGTTGCAACTCACGGTCATTGTTTCAATACGTAACAGTAAAACGAAGAGTATTGTAGTGTGCTGCTGCTACTTTTTTTTTAGTAACGTGTGCTGCTGCTACTATTACTATACTACTACTTGGTTGGGTTAAAAACAGGCAGGTGTGTTTATCCTAGCGAGCAGTTCGGTGTGGGCCATGAATGTCATTGACGAACTAGGCCGCGAGTATCTGCGCCCACGGATCAAATCAAAGCTGCCTGGAACGATCCCGAACGATTCGCGTGCAGGCCACCTGAAGCGTCCAACACCCAACGCTTCCGCTTCTTTGCTGCAAGAACATCGGAGGGGTCACTGCTCTCTCGCCCAAGCGCAGGATTCGAGCTCCCCCAAAGCAATCCCCGGCCTGCATCGTCTTCCTCTGCTCCTCCGTGGTACGGTTTGCTCTGCTTCCTTCCTCTTTCAGTTAAGTTGTCGCTGCTCTGGTTGCTGTTCTGGCCGCGGCTTGGGGTTTTTTTTTGGTTGTTTTGGAGGTGTTTGGGCCACTTTGGGCGGTCCAATGTCCGGCGGCCGGCGGCTCTTCCGTGGGTCGGCTGCCGGATTCGTGCCTTTCTCCCTCCTCCTTTCACCTCCCTTGGCTCCACCGGCGACTGCCGCCACCGTCGTGCCTTTCTTCCTCCCCTTCTCCTTTCTATCTTCTCCCCTGCCCCTCATTCAAACGCGCTTGCGGGCTGGGTGACCCGTGCGGAGAGCAGCAGCGGCCACATTGATAGGGGAGGAGATCAAGGTTGCCGTCGATGGGAAATGAGGTGATTGGGTCGACGAATAGAAGGACGAAGTCTAAACCGCCGGCCGGCAAAGAGGGCAGGCAGCAACGGGTTGCCGTCACGACGGTGCCACCGGTATGTTGCGGAGTGAATCTGCGCCACCCCTCCTCTCAGCGAAGCTGGATGGCGCCGCGTGGAGAAGGCAACGTCCCCATGTTGCTCGCCACCGCCCACGTGACGAACTCGCCGCGCGGACCTCTCCCCCACCATGGTCGCATGGTAGGGGGATGTGCTTTTCTTTTCGAAAAGGGTCGGGAGATGTCAGATGTGCTAAGCTCAAGGTCAAGTCCAGCTGTCCTGCGCCATTGGCTTCAGTCGCCCACAGGATGTTCGATGAAATACTCACAAGGAATTGACAGGTTAATTCGTCTATAATCGATCATCTTGTTAGGTCTTCTGTTACATACACTACTCTTGTAATACTGCAATTGTGCACGTCATCTCTGCGCCTGACGTCTCATGATCTGATGATGCCGGGGAGACGTCAAACGTCGCGGGCATCATCTCGTTCTCTGAAAAAAATGTGTGCATGTATGGTTCTCTCTGAAACATGTACTGCAATTGTGCCCTTAGGAAACATTTTCTTCCCCAGAGCTTTTAGCTTGTTTACCCTCTGCTCATGAGACCCTTATTCTTAAAATCTGATTGTGCAAGCTATCATTGTGGTCTTTTTTTTAGAACACCATTGTAGTCACAGAGAAATTTCATAGGTTGAATTCACCACATCCTCCTTTTAATTAAAATGTTGTCAGGACAACTGCCGTGAGGATCATCCCCCATTGGTCTTGTTTTTATACTATTATAAACTCTTACTCCAGTTGAAAGTTGAAACCAAATGCTCTTGTGCCAAATAGTGGAAGATGACATCAAATTATTGCTGTGATCTTTCGGCGCAGCAAAGTGCGCTACTGCTTCTAGTTCGCATATGTTTCTCGTAGATAAGATCCCCACCCCTTCGCTCTGTTCAGTTCGTGGGGTTTGGGGTTTTTGGACTGCGCCATCGAGGACCGGTCATTGTCTCTTTTGTTCTGGTAGGATCATTTTACTGACCTTGTCTTTCATACCGGAGGGTTTTGTAGTTTGTAGGTCTAAATCGACTGGTTTATTGAGGTCAGAAGTACGAAATCACATCAATAATATTGGGCTCTGGACGGTAGCTAGGTTTGGTGTGCTAGTTGTTACTGAGGTCTGCACACTTTCGAGCAAAAAAATATTGCGATGATGTTATCCTCCATTTGCTCGCTGGATTTGCTGTGCATTTTGATGATAATCCACTTGATGTTTCCTAAGGTTGAGATGGTTGGATTAGGCCGAGCTTTTCCTTCCTGTTCCTGGTGGTTTTTATTTTCTGAAGGGCCTAAAAATGATTTATTTTCTGAAAACATTTAAAATTGCAGTTCAGATATTCCTGAAATCAATTATTCTCTGAGGCCATTCATCAATTAATTTCATAAATTAAACGCCCCGATACATTGAGTATTTTCTGTTCTCTTCTCCAGCATTGATCCTACTAACTACAAAATGCAAAAGCATGAAATCGGGCGTGATAGCTCGCCGGGCACCCAGTCCCTGTCAACCATCATCAGTCATAACAGATCTGTGCGTCTTAGATTTCTCAAAGAATTCAATGAGTTGAAGTACGGGAGTGTCACTGAAGATTACAAGGCAATCAATAGAAAGAGGCATGAACTTATCAGCACCCTTGAAAAGCTGCAACTTATACCTATCAAGTTGCCCTATGCCAGTGTAGCTCTCAAGTCATCAAATGTGACATTACATGATGAAGCACAAAGTGGGAACAATATTAGTTCTGATAATATTATCGAATTGGATCTGTACAATGTTGGAGATGATACCCATGCTACCATGGACAATACTGGGGCTCAGGAAACTGTTTGCTTACTTGATTCTGATGATAACGACATGGTTCAATCCTTTGTAGATGGAAATTTATCCGATTCTAAGAAAAATACTGATTTTATCCAAGAATGCATGCTGGCTGAGCAGCCTTGCCAATACCAGGACATCAGTTTTGAAGCTCAACTTGTAGTTGAGCCAGGAAAGGACAGCACGGACATTGACAATGAGGTGCATTCAACTCATCATATATCTTCTGTTTCTTAATGCATCTAATATAATGCACAATTCTGCATTTTTTAACTGCATGAATAAGAGAGGAGGGAAATAGACATTATTCATTCCCATGCTCGCAAATAGCTTATGTGATCTTTAAACCCATAGGTTATCTTTTTATGCACAATTGTCTCATTATTTATTTTGTCTAAACTGCTTAACAGTATCAAGTTTGTCTAAACTTATGCTGGCATGATAAATTGCATTGTGCTGAAATTACTTATTACTGACTAGCTTCCATCTATATTTCAAGCCCAAGGAAATTGCTTTACTTGATGGCCATAGTACTTCAGAGCCACAACTGATCAAGCAAGGACAGAATGACATAAACATTTACGCCGAGGTCTGCTTCGATATTAACTCTGGGAATGTTAGTCAATATTGCTGTTTTTTCCTATATAGTTTGATTAGAGAACTACTGGTAATCACTGAGTATGTTCATATTTATGCCTAGATGCTAACCAGTATCATGCTCTCAATAACATCAAAAGTCCTTCCCCAAGGACTGCATGTCCTAGTAAGATATTGTTATATTGCACTTGAATCAACTCAAGTTACTCAATGATGTCCCTGAAGTAAATTTTTGATATGTGCTTTTTACAGGAATATATTTTTAATTTTTTGAATATCCCCTTTTGCTCTGTTTAGTTACAAAAAATTGATTTTAGTTTCATAACTTTTTTCCAGAAGATATGCCTACTCGGTTTCAAAAAATGAAAACTGATTGATTTAGTTCAGATATGACTATATGAGAGATACTATTGTTTTTTAATCTCAATATCTGAATTGGTAAATGGAATCGTTTCTCCCTGTCATGTTCACTATCTTGCATTTCGACAGAGTCGTGACAAGGAGAGAGAAACAAGGGAAGGAGAAGGTGAGGATGTCCAAAGTAAACAACACATGGAGAACAACAATATTTCTGTTGTAGATTCTTGTGAAATATCTTGTGAGGTCATACAAAGTGATTCAACGGCAAATGGACATTATAATCACTATGATAACAATGACAATCCAGTTGATGACCTGGATGACCTTTGGAACGAAATGTCTCTTGCATTGGCATGTTCAAAGGTATCTGTTTAATAAACTCATTGCAATTGTCTCCAGATATATTCTCTTCTCTGTTTTCTTATATCAGGTTAGATTTCAATATTTCATGATCTCAGGGCCTTGCTTACTTGATAATGGGTTTCATGTCTGCACTGATGAAATGGTTCTCAGCAAGTATGCCACATAGAAAATAGTATTTGTAGTACATACCTATAGTTAAAGTACCATTTCTCTATCTACTTGGTGTATATTTTTCAAAAAGAAAAGGAAAATGTGATTGTTGTCTTCCACATGATGCTTGAGGCCAATTATGTGACACTATTTTGCATTTTATTACTTGAAGGTCTAGAGCAGGAGCACATGATCTTACTGGTTGTTTTGAAACAGCTAGTTTTGCATTTTCCTCTGGTCCTTTTTCGTTCTCACACATATACTTTAATGCTTTACCATCATCATACTACTGTTTTCTTAATTTTACCCCTTTACGCATTTGCTTTGTTCTTTTGTCTACCATTACTTGCTTCTTGATGAATCTGACCAACATACTTAATCTAACCAGACCATTGGAAGCGATCACAGTATTGTTCCGTCGGAGAAGAATAATTCTGAAGTAGTGGATGATTGTCATCACGACTTCCTGATGAAAGATGATTTGGGCATTGTATGTCGTGTTTGTGGTTTGATCCAGCAACGTATCGAGAATATTTTTGAGATAAACTGGAAAAAGGTACGGAGTTTCTGATCCAAATTAGTCCAATTTATTTTCTTGAATACTCTGAAGATAATTATTAAAAGATTCAAATAACATTAACTGGTAAATAGTGTCCTGTCAATCAACTCATTGATTAGTTCTGTATGTTATCGTTTATAAACTTTCTTCATCGGTTATTTGTCATTAATGATTGATAGATCAAACAAATGCCCCCCCCCCCCGTGCGCGCAAAAAAAAAAGATCAAACAAATGCCCTATACGAACACCCATTGCATGTGTTTTAGCTTTTAACAAATGTCAATCAAGTCATTGATTAGTTCTGTTTGAATGAGGATTTTACTGGGATATAGTTCAAATAAACCAAGTAAATCCTATCCCAACCCCAAATGTTAAGATGTAGATTTCGAAAAAAAGCAATTCACTTCTGTTTCCGCATTGGCAGAGCCACATCTCTCATTTCCTCTTTGTTGCATCAGCATAAGCAATCCCACAGAACTTATGCGCCAGAACCCAGAAACTACAATGAGCTGGAAGCAACTACCAGTCCTTCAGGAAATATTCTTCAAGTTGTCCCTGGTGCTCTCTCAATCCACTCTCAGCATTCAGAACAGATGAAACCTCACCAAGTGGAAGGCTTTAATTTCTTGGTCAAGAACCTGGCAGATGAGAACAACCCTGGAGGTTGTATTCTAGCACATGCACCAGGTTCTGGAAAGACTTTTATGCTAATTAGCTTTGTTCAAAGCTTCCTGGCCAGATACCCTGCAGGAAGGCCATTGATTATCCTTCCAAAGGGCATTCTGGCAACATGGAGAACAGAATTTGTCCGTTGGCAAATTAAGGACATGCCTATACCCTTGTTTGACTTCTATTCCTCCAAAGCTAATAACCGGTCTGAACAACTCAAGGTTTTGAACTTGTGGGAAGAAAAGAGAAGCATATTGCTGCTAGGGTATCATCAATTTGCATGCATAGTATCTGATAGGAATACTTATAAAATAGAAGCTGTCATGTGCCGAGATAAGTTGTTGAAGGTCCCAAGCCTTGTCATTCTAGATGAAGGCCACACTCCGAGAAATGAGCAAACTGACTTACTCACTGCACTTGGAAGTATAAGAACTCCTAGAAAAGTGGTTCTCTCAGGAACCTTGTTTCAGAATCATGTAAGAGAGGTTTTCAACATTCTGAACCTTGTGCGGCCAAAATTCCTGAAGATGGAGAAACCTCGTGCAATAGTGAAGCGCATACTAAGCAAGGTTGACATGTTGGGGAAGAGTGCACGGTCAAAGTACACTTCTGATAAGTACTTCTATGATGTGGTTGAAGGAAACCTTAAAAAGGACGCAGATGATAAAATGAGAGTAATGATCATCCATAATCTACGCGAGCTAACCGCGAATGTGCTGCACTATTATAAAGGTGAGCTTTTGGATGAATTACCCGGACTTGTGGACTTCACCGTTTTTCTGAATATGAGTACCGAGCAGGAAAAGATCCTTAGGAGTTTGGTAAGACTAGATAATTTTAGCAGGAAAACAGCATGCAGCGCTGTTTATCTTCATCCGTGCTTAAAGAATATTCAAAACGTTGAAGGGAAAAATCGAGATATTGCTGTTCAGAAGATTGATTCCATCATAAAAAGTGGAATTGATATCAAGGTTGGGGCAAAGGCAAAGTTTATATACAATTTGTTGTGTCTTTCAGAGGCTGCAGGAGAGAAGGTACTCGTGTTCAGCCGGTATCTGAACCCTCTGGTTTTCTTGGAAATGCTGCTCATAAGAATGAAAGGATGGAAACCAGAGGTTCACATGTTTAAATTAAATGGTAAATCAACACAAGAGCAGCGAGACAAGGCGGTTGAGAGATTCAACCACTCAACGGATGCTAAAGTTTTGTTTGGTTCCATCAAGGCATGCGGCGAGGGCATCTCCCTTGTTGGCGCATCACGCGTTGTCATTCTGGAGGTCCAGGAAAATCCTTCCGTGACGCGGCAGGCAATCGGACGGGCATTCAGACCAGGGCAGTCCAGATTGGTGCATTGCTACCGCCTTGTTGCCGCCGACTCCCCAGAAGAGGAGGACCACAAGACAGCCTCCGGAAAAGAATGGAAGTCCAAGATGTGGTTCGAATGGAACGAGCTTTGCAGCAACGATGATTTTGAGCTTGCCGCTGTGGATATTTCAGAGAGCGGGGACAGGTTTCTCGAACACGAGGCACTGCGACAAGATGTCAAATCTCTGTACAGAAGGTATGTATGAATCTGATTGAACCTTTTTTCTTTTTCTGCTAGGAGGTTGAATGCATCAATGAATACGCCCATATATCTGGTTTTGTTACTTGGTTCTGTTTGCAGGTGAAGAACAGAGGCAAGCGCTAACCAGTGAGAAAGAAAGAGGAAGAATAATCTAGGTAGGAACTGAAGTGGCTTCTTTGCAGTATTTTGTCTGATCGTCTGAAGTGTGGTAGTATGAGGAGATATAACAACCATTTGCACTCTCAAATGTTAAAAGTGTCTATTTGTTGACATTTTCTGTCTCCATTAAAATGATGATAAATTTCTGGAGTCGTGGTAATGTGGTACTGCTAATGACTATTCCGATGCAAGTTATCTAGGTTTCAGTTCAACTTTTGCTGTCATGTGAGTCGAACCAATTGTGTGGTGTTCTCTGTCCGCTGAACAAGTTTTCAACTGTATAAGAATTGTTACTCTTAACCTTACTGTCATGAGCCATTCTCTATGTGTTGGCTGCCTGAATCTGATGATTCTATGTCTGTCTTTGTCCATGGACAAAATCTGAACATCACGCAGTGTCCTTCTCGGTCCCTTCATCTCCTCCGCCACGCCGTCTTGAGCTCGGACACCGTCTACGAAAAAGCCCCCCTCCCGCCCAACATGTCAACTCTCTACCGCTCCCACACTAATGTCGGCCCCCGCTGCTGCTGCCTCGCGCGGGACGCCGCGGCCGGCTATGTCATCCCGTCCCCTCTGTGCCGCTCCTCCCCTACTTCTTCAGTTCTTTTATCAAAATCGACTTAAACCCGGAAACAAATCAGTTGCGTTATACTCACTCCATCCTAAATTACTTGTAGCAGAAATATTTGTATATAGAACTAAACATACGTCTAGATACATTCATTTCTGTGACAAGTAATTCCGGACGGAGCGAGTACTGGTAGATGTAGATGGCAAACGCGAAAAAACTTATTGTATTGGTATAGATCAAGAAACTGGTGTCTATTTGGATCAACAAATCATCAATATCCTGAATCCAGTCGTCAATGAAGTACACCAATCTGTGCTGGCTAGCAAAAAAATACCAATCTACTATCTCTACAGCAAGCTACACCCCCATCTCATATACAGTTATACGTACAACCTACTTCATTTACCACACCAATTGTATACTTGTATGATATACGTATATACTTGCTTCAGATTTACCGTGTACTACCATGCATGTTCTGCTTGCTTCTCCATGCATACTGGCGGCGGCGCCGGCCGGCCGGCCCAGGCTTCTGGCACGCCGCCCCCTGCGTTATTCAGTGCCATGCTGTGCGTCCAGGTGGTCGCCAGCTCAAGTGACGAAGTCGTGCAGCAGCTGCGACGACGACGAGGCGAACCGCTGCCGGTCGTCGCCGCCGTTGAGGAAGTCGAAGTCGCCGGGGTTGCCGTACAGCAGGCCCTGCTGCTCGGGCGGCACGTGGCCGGCGTTGTTGTTGTTGTTGCAGTGCTGCAGGCCCAGCGTCAGCGACACGCTGCCGCCGAGGTCGCCCATGTTGCCGCCGTACGGCACGAACCTGGTGTCGTCGCCGTGGTGCGGGAACGCGTCCTGCAGGAGGCTGCCGCCGCCCGGGCCGTGGTGGTTCAGGCTGAGGCCTGCTGGCGCGTACGTGCCCATGTCGCCGCCGCCGAAGCTGGACAGCGGGCCGGCGTCCATGCTGCCCACCGGCTCCGACTTGTAGGCGTTCAGCAGCTGGCTCGCGCCGGCGTGCGTCGACGTGCTCTGGAACTCGTCGCGGTCCTGGTCCTCCGAGCATGCCGCCTCGTCCACCTTGCTGTGCTTGTTGCCGGCGTTCTCCGACGACGAGTTGGTGGAGTCCATCTCCGCGCCGAACTCCTCCTTGTACATCTCCTCCACCATCGGCTTCCATAGGCGGACGCGCGCGTTGATGAACCAGTTCGACACCTGCCCCCGGGACAAGCCGGCCTGCCTCGCCAGCATCACCTTCTCCGAGTCTTTGGGGTACCTGCATCGATCATGGCGGATCAGTGAGCGAGCACAGAGGAGTAGAGTGACCAGCTGCATGGGCGGCGCGGTGGGTAGCTTACGGGTGGAGGAAGTGCTCGAAGAGCCAGGCGCGGAGGACGGAGACGGCGGACTCCGGGAGGCCGCGCTGGGGCCGCCACGCGTGCTGCGGCTGCTGCATCATGCCGAACTGCTGCATGGCGCGCTGCTGCCGGAGGTGCTGGTCGATGTACCGCAGCCGAGACAGGCCCCCCGCGCCGGAGCCGTCCTGAGGCTCGCCGAGGCTCCGCCGCGCCGACTGCACCTGCGCGCCGATCGCGTCCCGCAGCGACCGGAAGTGCCGGGAGATCGTCTGCAGGGCCAGCGCCGTGTAAGGCCTCGCCGCGCCGGAGCCGGCCACCGCGTCGAACGACGACACTACCATCTGCATCTGCTGGTGGTAGTGCCTGTACCTCCGGTCCACCTGGTCCAGCATGGCCATCAGTGCCGTCACCTTGTTCTGGAGGTCCTGCCTCTCCGCCGGCGACAGCTCGGCGGCGGAGCTCCCCTCGTTCTCCTCGCCCTTGTCGCCCTCGACCTTGTCGCACTCGCCGTTGCCGGCCGAGTCGTCCTTCCTGTCCCCCTTCCTCTTGATCGCGTCCCGGACACTGACCACCTCGTCCAGCAGCTCGCGCGCCGCCTTCAGGAACCTCGAGTTCTGCACGTACACGTTCACCTGCGCGTTCCTGCTCGCCGCCATCGCCATCGCCGACTGGTTCGGGCTCATCAAGGTGGGGGAAGCGGCCGCAGCCATGCCGCCCGGACGGCCGTACTGGTAGAGGGACACCGGCACCTGCGAGCCGAGGCTGAGCGACAGGCCACCCTGGTGACTGCGCTGCCCTGCCGACGCGCCGCCGTCTCCCATGAGCATCTGCGTCTGCAGGCCGCCGAGCTCGGAGCCGTCCCTCGAGCCCATGAACGCGGCCTGCTCGTCGTCTCGGCCATCGCCGCCGCCGCCGCCGTGCGCTATGTGGCTCTGCTGCACGATGGACGCCGGGAGCGGGATCAGGCCGCCGGTCGACGAGTCTGGGTATTGGTTGGACATGGGGTAGTGGTGGTGGAATGACATGTCGCCGGCACCTCCGCCACCGCCGGCGAGGCCCCTCTGATCGTTTGAAGTGGAGAAGAACGTGGCCATCCGATCCTCTTCAGATGCAAATGCAATCTATCATCAGAAGCGTACCACTGTACTGTCGACGCTTGGTAAGGTTCAAGTTTTGTCTTGAGTGTCGAACTGAAGAAATAGAGGATTGGAAACTGTCAGTAAATCCCGCTCAGAATTGTCAGAAGGCGATTTCATCTTGCTCCTAAATTCAAATTACAGTAGTAAATAGCAAGATTTGGAGCAAAGGAAAGATGGTAAAAACATGGTGCGCGAGTGCAACTGTGCATCGACATACTGTGGTGAATTAGGCAGAAGTATGATATGAGTGGACTAGGCAAGAACAACTGAATAACTGCAAATTTCATTCAGAAAATTACAAGAGGAGTGAAAGAATTCTACTGCAAGCGAAGTAAATCAAAAGGATAGAATGGACCCAACAGAATTGAAAGCATCTATATATCTACCTGGGAGGACAAACTTCAGATCACTGTACTTCCCGAACACACAACACCTCAATCTTCTTTCTGAAGTACTACCTGCATACAAAAAGAAAGCCTTTGCACTCAGCTGATGAAACCAGTATATAATTTCAGGAAAACACCAGTCCAAATCAGTGGTACCTATCAAGGGGGGAAAAGGCCTAACTGGACATGACTTGGGAGAAACTAAGAACACACAAAAATATCAGTTACTACTAGTTACTACTACCACTTGGCAATTCAGAGACCAAACTTGCTAAGAATCAGCCAGAACAGGAAGCAATTTTTCAAGTTGGTATGGTGCTGCACCAGCCAACCACAAGTAGTTAACCAGGAACAGAAAGCTCAACAAGCAAGAAGCCACAACAACACCAAGAATCCATATAGAGACCAAAACACCTAACAGAAACCTGTTGCTCACTGAATCATCTACAAATTTGATGGATGCAAAGAGCAAGGCAAGCTTGATAAGATGAACCTCTACACATACCTCTGCAAGAACTGGCTTTGAGGCCAAGCAAGAGCAAGAGCTTCTTCTTCTTGTGTGCTATCTGATCAGAGTTCTTCTGACAGGAACCACCTAGCAGAAGACCGGCCGGGGACAGAGGGCCGATCCCGAGGATTCTAAAGAGGGGATTAGCAGCGAGGGTGTGGGCTTAAAATAACCAAGAACGCTCCTGGGATTGTATATATCTTGCTGCTTTTGGTGTTGGTCTCTTCTCTTTTGGTTGTTGTAGCTCCTCCTGCCTCCTTCCCTGAGCAATAATATACTCCGGGGCTGCTTGCGCCAATGAGGAGGGCCTGCCTAACACTATCCCCCCGCCCCGCAAATCCTAAAGAAACCCCACCACCGTTTTTGTTTGTTTCCCTCTCGCTTATTCCTCCCTATCTCCTCTTTACCCCACTCGTTTTCTCACGTATAGGATTGCTGCTTTGCGCGCGTGCGTCACGCTCAGGCCACAGGGACGTCGACGGCCGAGATCGGGAGACCGACGCTCGATCTCCGCCGTCGGCATGAGACTGATGCGCCTTTTAGGCATGCAATACATACATAGTATGTACTTTAGTTTAGTTGTGACTCACATGATAAAACCAACATCATACGGTTGGTTGCAGGTATATCTTAGTAACTCTGAAGAATATGATTCCACATGCAAGTTTTTTTTTTGTTCTGAACAATTAGACAATTGAGAATTTCAAATTTGACGCGAACGCCGCGGAACGGAGTGGGGAAAAAAAGGAGCCCTCGCTTTTATGCTACTATAGAAACCCGTAGATTCTTGCCAGTTTTGAGTGACCTTGCAGCAAGCATACCTGTTGGGCAGGCAGTTCAGTTAGTCCACTCAGTGCACAGAAAAGCAGGTCCATTACCCTCCTCACTTGCTGGGTGTGTTTTCAGCTGAAAAGGCTCCCCAAGTTGCCATTTCTAGCTGATTCTCCCCGGACGCCTTGATTGCAAGGGCACCAATCCGATCGATCCCCTCCCT